TTTCTCTTCAATAATTCTCAGAGTGAACATGCATTGTCCTAAAAATCAAATTCTTGAAACTCGAAAACTTACCTGGGACAATTTTCTGAAAAATTATAATACCAAAATCGCTTTCAAGAACCTCACAATTATTTCCTAACATTCTAACTAGATTTGAAGTCGGCGTGAAAAATTTGACTGAGTCAATATAATCTGATCTTTTTATTATTTATTTCCTTATAGTTATGTAGTTTTATAGTACAATTATATAATTACCTATCCCTAATTTGTCTTCTTCGCACTTTCAATATCTAGTTAGAATAGAATATTAAGTTAAAAAGAATTTCATATTTTTTAAACTTTTCAAATATTTTAAGAAATGGTTTGTTTTTCCTAAGAAAGGTTTGTTTTTCCTAAGTTTTTTATTTTGTAAATTTTAATTATTTACTTTAAAAGTTTGTTTTTGAAGTGAGTTAAGAAAATTGTTTTTAAATTGAGAAAGAGAGAGAAAAAACAAAAATTTTGTCTTGTATTTTTAGATTTTTCGAATTTTTTAAGAAATAATGGAATCACGCAATTTCCAAGCCATCCTAACAAACGCAAATAATGATGCAACATAATTTTCCCGAAGAGCATAATACAAAAATTATAAGACAAAATCTCCCGAAATATTAAATTCCTGCAAAATATTTGTTATTTTTCTTCCAAATTTTTGTAGAAAGAATTAATTGGATAATTGGATATTTTTGAGATCTAAGAAGATTCCAAGTTAATATTGTTAATTTTATTCGTGAAAATTATCAATCCTTTGAAATTGAATTATTTCATTTTCTATTTTATTTAAGAAACACGACAAATTGTTTGCATCAATCTAATCAATTTTCCCGAAACAAAAGAATATCGTAATCTTTGAGACCAATTTTTTAATAGTAATTTAAACTTAGATTTAAGTTTATATAAACTTAAACGCATCAAACACATTGTTAGAACAGAGTTTTAAGACTCCTGATTACTTGCTATGAAACTTTTGCTTAATGACGTCAAAAGCAAGGAAATACATGTCCGTAATTCCTACTAAGTACGTCGAAACAAAAAAATACTAGTATATCCAAAAAATATGATCGATTAAGCACACTTCCAAAATACTCCGAACACTTCTTTTTTGCTGTATCAATAAATAACTGCTAAATTAATGTGATATTACTTTTTCATTTACATTTCCTCAATGTTTTTTTCAAGTTAATTTTACGGCTATTTATTGATTGTTAGAGCAAAAAGAAAATGTTCGGAGCATTGTAGAGGTATTCTCAATCGATTGCAGGTATCATTTTTTTATTTATTTTATTTCAACGAATTTTGGGCACGCGTTTCCCCATTGACGTAATAAAAATCAAGATGACCGCGGCGAGCTAAGAGCCTTAAATCATAATCCAAGTTTAAACTGCTATTGAAAAGTCGGCCCTTAATTATCCTGTACTGTGTGTACGGCAGCTTTAGTTATCTCTATTCCTGAAACAAGCGCTGTTCCTTCGTTATCACGCTCGGGAGGAAACGCGCGACTTCGATGTCGAAATACTATTAATTATTCGTATACACGTAACTATCTGTACACTCGGAACAATCGCCGCGTCTCGTAACTGCTGGTCCTCCGCTATCACACGCTCGGGAGGAAGCGCGCGACTTCCGGGACACCGTGTACACACGTGTTCACGCACCCATACACACATGCGTAAATGGGGAAGTCCTACATTGAGTTTCCTATCTGCGCCGTTTAATTTCCTCGCGTACGGGGCGAGGCAGCGATGCGGAGTAACGTACTTCGCCTCGTGCAGACACACGCAGTCATGGGGGCGCCGAACGATATCCCTAACGTACTTTATTAATGAGCCGGCAGCGGTCAGCTGTTGCGATCCATATGGGGTTGTTGGTCGCGCCGAGCGCACCCCCGTGCTTTGCTCCCCGGCGACCCCCACCCTCTCCCCAGCCGGCGGCGAGGGTTCCCCCTTTTGTGACGCGCGTTTGCACGCGTGGGGCATCAGCTGTGCACGCAATCGCCCCCTTGTCTCCGCACCCCAGGGGCGGCAAACGGATGGACGGATCGTTGTTAGGAGGGGTCGGCATTTAAAATCAGGATTAACGCGCCCGCATACCTTGCACGCGGCTATTTAAATTGCACACCACGCGGCAGAGATGATAGCTCGCGCGGAAATATCAGCGAAATTCGCTAGTCGGCTCTCGATCTTTTGCGATCTCTCAGGAAGGGGACGCAACGGGGAACAAATTTCAGTTCGTGCAACCGGACGAAGAACTCGCTCTGACGAGAAAATTCGTTTGAATATTCAGCCGCATTAGAACTCGGCTGAGGCAACTGAGAGCAATTGACTGATAAAGAAAGGCCCCAAAGTGTCTCATCGATTCCGAGTTTAGATCAGTATAGAATTGTTCTAGGAACTCTAAATAATATAAATTTCTATTTGCATACTCTTTACGTTAAAAAAATAGCAGCATGCAGAATTTTATAATTTTCAAGAATTTGATAAAATAATAAAATCAATAATTAGTCGCACTATAGAAAAATATGAAATTTACTCGACTTTAAATTCAATCCAAGAACAAGTCGATAGCATTTCTATTCCATATTTTTTACAGTAAAGACAAGTTAGAATAGAGGTTGAAAATAAGTATAGTATTTATGTAGAGATTAATTTCTTCCAATACTTTCAAGTTGGCAAAAATATTATAATTTTTTTATTTAATTAAATTGTTGGAAATTATAAAATTTTCCATGCAAAATTTTTAAACATAAAGATAGGAGGTATAGATGGTATAGGAGATGTAGATGGAAATTTGTATTATTTAGACCCTTCAGAACAATTCTACCATATACTAGTCTAAATTCGGAATTGATAAAACACTTCAGGTCCTTCACTGAGAAAGAACCTTCTGTTACCAGAGCAAAAGCACGTTTGCGATCAAATTTATGATTTGTTGAATTAACTGCACGGTGTATATATGTGTGTGTGTGTGTGTGTGTGTGTAGCATTTGTATCCATTACAAAAGTGTTACTACAACAGCAAATTGAAAGCAATAAATCATGTTTCCATAACGGAATTACTTGCTATTCTATATTACCGATGATTTATTGCGGATATTAGTATATTTTAAATATTTATTAATAAATAAATTAGCAAAATTATATGTTAAATTAGCAAAATACTAACACCCGCAACAAATGGTCGGTAATATAGGACAGCAAACAACTCTGTCACAAATGATTTATTGCTTTCAATTTGTTGCTGTAGCAACACTTCTGTAATGGATACACATGCTACACTGCCCAGTTAATCCAACAAATCATAAACTTGCTAGCAATGCAGAGAAATAAAAAAGTTCAGCAAATCAGTTATATCAACAAAGAAAAATTTCCTTCTACGACGAGAATCTTTCTGCTCCCGCAACCGCATTTTTCATCTGATTCTCAGATAATAGAAAATTCAGTTACTCTGACGGAGTTCATTTTTCCGTGCACCCTCAATATTTATTTTCCTGCCCGCGTCGCGGAGGAGAGAGAGAGTGCCTCTCGTCACTTTTGTCACGTGGCCGTTTGCGTCGAGGCGCGGAAGGTCGGACAGATGCGCTTAATTTCAGCGTGGAAACATCGCCAAATGGCAGCAACCCGAAGGGGTTCCAGACTGCCTTTTGTAGCTCCGGGCTGCGTCGTGTCGATTTATGAGTCACGATCGGCGAGCTTGGTCGCGATTGTGGCCGTCGGTCGTTTTCGTCGCGCGCGAACGGGATTTCACGGGATTATTCGACGTAATTCAATATTCGCCGCGTTGCAACGAAAACATTTGTGCCGGTCTGGAAGAAATTGCAGCCGAGCTCGTGCGAGAAAGAGAGCAATAAAAACAATATAAAATTGCGCGACCTCGCGCGCTTATCTCTTCCCATGTTATAATTAACGAGCACGGTGCGCCGATATTACATTTCCAAGGTTATCGCGACGGAGATTTTGCGTGCATGCCGTCGCTAGTAAAGCCAGATTGTAAGAGGTCAAGTGTGACATTGCATGCGGTTGTAAGAAATCGGAATTCGAGATAAGGCGCGAAATGTGCCCGTTTCGGACGCCAGATGCCGGATCGCACCGTGCGCCAACTCATTCCCGATGTGATGTGATTCTGACGAGTTTAAAAAAATACGTGCTTGCATATAATAACAAACGACATTCTTATCGATCTCCCGCGTCGCAGTAACCCCGCATTAACATTTCCCTCCCGAAGAAATCTACTTTAATTGCAAGATTCGCACATTTGTATGTGCGACTGAAACACATCTCCTATCTCCAGTCGACAAACTTGATGCACGGGTCGTAAATAAATTATTATTATTATTAAATTTATTTTTATTTTTATTTTACAAGAGTGCTACACAGGAATAAGTTCTCTTTGGCACAAAAGAATACAATTATGCAACACTTGTGAAGTCACATGAATCAGTCACAACGTAAGTCATAGGTCAAAAGAATAATTTAAATTGGAAAATAAAAAGAAAAACTGGCCTAGGAGAATGTAATAGCTGAACCAATAGCTGTTGAACAAGCATTACAAATAAAAATATTTAAAAAATTCACTACGTAAAGTATCGAATGTTTGTCTATTGTAGAGGTCTATTGTAGAACCTCCTCCTAGTTAAACCGCAAACACTGCATGTGAAAAGAAATGTAAAAGAGAGAAAGGCAAGACAAAAATATCTTTGAAATATAAAAGAAAGAAAGGAATACATATCCAATTCGTTTCTTCAGCCTACGTTATAATATTCAAGAAATATAAAAAATAACAAATAAAAGTAATATCTGATCTCTGAGAAATTTGGCAACCTGAAGCTTCAAAAGTACTCAAACGTCTCACAATTTTTTTCCTACGTGATGTTATATAATGTTATGTGATTATCTTATATCTCTTCGACGAACTTCTCGCACAGGTATATGTAAAATACGCATTCTCTCCGTTATCTGTTGCAGATTTCATGAAGAGTCGTAAGCGCGGTCTGAACGGCACCACAAAGAGCATGATAGAACCGCCGGAGAAGATCGCCCGCAACGCGGGTCAGATACGCAGCTAAAAACCTTCAGCTTCCTCTTTCCTCCTTCGACCTCGATGTCTTCTTCCACCTCGTCTGCGTCACGCGAACGCGCGACAAGAGATAGTACCGGAAACGGGACATTGCACCACTAGGAGGAACGAGGAAAAAGGAGGACGCGGGGACTGCTCCGACAAGAGGCGCGAGATCCTCGTTGGCTGTGCCATTCATACATAGATTTATCCGCCGCGAGCGCTGGCGAAACCGACGGAAAGACGAATGGATCGGCTGGGAAAAGGAGCTGAAAGAGAGGAGAAGGCCGAAGTGAGATGTGGTAGTAGCGTTGTTCCCTATCGCATACATCTTCGTCTGTAATGTCGCTTTATAATATCGCGAGGATTGCGAGGGCAGAGTAGCAAGAGGTGAGAGAGCCGCGGCACGAAGGAAACGGTAAAAATCGAGATAGATGCCGAAAAAGAGCAAAGGACGCTCGGTGAAGAAAAAGAGGAAAGGGTATGACAGTGGCAGTCGCTATTTTTTTTATAATATACGGCACTATTTTTCTTTAGAATAGACAAAATAAGTAAATTTCTGAGGAAAAAAATTAGATTGTAGATAGAATAACGATTTTTGTCCAAATTAATTAATGTAATATATTCTTTGTTTTCAAACATTGATATATAAAAAAATGTTTAAACGATGTCGTTACACAGCACTTTACGAGAGAGTGAGAGATATTGTGAGCGAATAAATGTGAGCGAGAGAGAGATGCAAGCGCGTGAATATGTGTGAGTGAGTAAGTGAGTGAATGAATGAATGGATAAATGAATAAATGAATGAATGAAGGAAGGAAGGGATAAATAAATGAATGAATAAATGATTGAATGAATGAATGAATGAATGACTGAATGAATGAATGAATAAATAAATAAATAAATAAAGGAGTAAATGAATGAATGAGTGGGTGAGAAAAGAAAGAGAGAATGCAAGGAGCTACGAAATACACACAAGTTCATAGGCTATTCGTAGACATTAGTTGATTAGATTCTAAGGCAGAGTATATCGTGCGTATTGATTGGATCCAACTAAATGAACCGCTTGAACTGGTCCAGAAATTTTTGGGATTCGCGACTATTGCGTTACAATTTCCCCGAGTACTCAGCGACGAATTTTCCTTGCTGAAGTATTCATGGAAACTGTCTTATCGAAAGCAGGTTTTCATGGAGCATATCGCACTGGTTTCGACGTTCAATCCTTGAAACACGTGCGATATGATAGTTTCAGTTAAATTACGAAATTAGTACTCTAAATTTCTTGGAATAAAATTTCACTCGAAAAACAGACCAACGAGTAATTCGAATTTGAGTAATTTTGCATTCATACAGAGTGAACTCTCCATTTTAAATTGTCGAGTGAATATTTTCACCAGAAATTGACAAGTGAATCTGATGTACTTCACCGTCACGGAAATATTCATTCTAGTCAATTAAAAAATTCACTCATATGAAGAATTTACTCCTTGAGTGAAATACTCACTTTTGTAGTTTTTAGTAGTATTTTGGCTGTCGCTTCGAGTGAAAATACTAGCACTTTTCACTCGTTTTTATTAAGATTCCGCTCCAACAAATTTAAAAAGCAAACTTCACAAAGCTTAATCAGAATTTTATGAGAGTGTTTTATTGGAAATTTTATAATGATTTATTTATAATTCACAGATGATTTAAATGAGTAAGTGTAATTTAATCGCGGTGAAGCGCAATAGTTGCGATTCCATGGCCAGAATGTGACCAGTTTCGAGGAAGATGAGAGAGACAGAAATAGGATTTAGCTGTAGTTTGTTACCCGAGTTTAAGCATTGATCTCCTGTACGATTTTAAGAAAGTACAGCCGATGCCAAATCACCCCGCGATTTTTTCTTTACCTGTGAAAAAAGAACAAGGAAATCCGACTCCTTTCTTCTTTCCCCTTCATCCTGCGTTGCGTTTATTTCCGACAGATAGCAATGCGAGAGGCATATAAATTTGCAACTTTCGCATAGATCAAACTTTAGCTTTTCTTTTACGATATTGCTTCCGGTCTATTTACGTTACCAGTTAAGAGATACGATCTTACGAAAATGTCCGATATCTTCGGTTAAATTGAATTGCTCGATTTCAAGACGCGATATTCAGTCGAATATTTAGACAATGTTTTTCAGTCATTCTGTAATTTTTTGCGTTGCGATTGACGTAGTTAAATGTGACGATTTACATAAAGGCTTGTATAGTTTTGAACATCAATATTCGATTAGACGTCAGATCAATGGAAAGATCATTCTCTTTTGATTGGAAAAATAATTTTGCTCTAATCTCAGTAGGACTGAAAAAACATTGTAGCGGTAATGAAAAAATATTTGGTAATGAAAAAAGATTTTCAACAAAAATACCAAGTTAATCGCAAATAACGTTAATCTTTTGTTACATATACATATATATAGTCACGATGATATATGTATTATCTTAAGGAACAAATTTCTTCCATGATAGTATATAACTTTCCGTTTTTTTTTTTATTTTTTTTTTTATAAATGGGAACTACGTACGACGAAAAAATAAACTAGGAGTCAAACGCGTGTACAACGAGAGGTTAATAACTCGCAAATTTTTTATTTTCGTAATCGACACGGAGAGAAAGGCTTCCGCAAAGAGACTTTGTTGAGGTCGGACGAATTAAGCGTTCAACAACGCGAATCCATCGCAATAGTTAACATCTACTTCGTTCGTCGCCAACGAATCGTCACAGAGCGTAATATTAGCGTACGTAATTTTATATACTTAATTGAGTTCTTTATTTTTCACACACACACACACACACACACAATGGGTAGCTGTTTACACATCGCGCACGCGCGATTTCCCGTTTATTAATACCTCGTTGAGACGGTCTTTGTTTAATGTGAATCCTACCTTATCTTCCAACTGGTCCTTAACATTTTCCCACCCGCCATTTTTCTTTTTTGAGATTATAGCTCAAAAATACGACTGGTGGTTACAAGCTATTTTTTTAAGGTCCGTTTCGCGATATCGAGCGGTGAGGGACGGACACAGTAAGAGGAAGAGAAAAGTATTGCAAGATGCGAATAACAAACCTGAATTCGTCAGCGCGTAATGTCCATTTTTCTCCGCGCGAAACGAAAATGAAAAATTGGAAGCTCCACGGAATTCACTATGCAATCTGTTTGGTTGATAAGAATCGAAAAGCAATAGTCGAAGAATAAGGCGCAAAACGCGCGTTCGTGGCATATTTGGCACCTCGTGATTTCGACGTTAGTGCAGTACTCGTCGGAAGCGAATCGATTTAATCTGGCAATTTGGCAATCTGGCAATATACCGTGAGGTATGTCACATGTTTCGCTGGTGATACCTTCCATTTGACGGAAAAGAGACGACCGACGGAATTATGGTAACGCTACAAAGTAATCGTGCTCTTCTACTCTTAATTACTATCAAATCGAAATTAAATGAAATAAACCGGCGCAGAATCTTTTATACCTTCCTGTGTCACTGCCGGGAGTGAAACCGAAGAAAAAAAGATAATCACGAATCTTGGAATCTCACAAGATCTGAACAAAAAAAGTCGCGACGTTTGGTGCCTGCCGCGGGGAAAACTAACAAAAAAAAAAAGAAAGTAGCAAAAAAAATCTTACGTCTATGTAACCCTGTGATGTATTAGTATGATCTCAGTAAACATAACTTAGCGTGTACTTTTTATCTATGATAATTAGATCATATATGTATATGCGATAACGAGAAGTATGAAAAATCACAAATCATGGATAAAAGTCGACGATTTATATGTATGTATGTATATGTGCGAATGAGCAAGCGCGATTTTATGTGTGTGTGAATCTTGTAAGATAAAGGATAAAATGTTGATAAAAGGAGGAGGGAGCAGGGCGCGTGAGAAAGAACACCCAGTGAATCATGTCTCCCTACCAATCGGTACCCAACGATATAAAATTATATGTGTGTAACGACAATATTATTATATATTGTGTATAATTCTATAAACTATAACTATAAGAGAGTCTAAAAACTAACTAACTAACTAACATAAGTGAATCGTGTCCCACGTGTTTATTAAAGAAAAAGGATCTATCTATATATAAAAACGTTTTCGTCATTTTTCCTCTTATAGTGTTTTCCGCAATAAACGTGAGTCATCTCTTCAAGAGTCTAAGGGTGGTAATTATAGTCCAATTTTATATATGAAGAATCGTTTTATATTTAAAATCATCTTGAAATGCTTTTAGGGCTACTTTGTGTAGACTACATAGCATTTTAAGATGAAATTAAGGTGATCTAAAATATAAAATCTAATTATGGACAGTTCTGAGAGTACGTTCTCCGTTATTAGATATATCTTGATTAATTCGTTATTTTTATTACATGGAAAATAATTTAAGTTCAGACGATATTTTCCTGCTCCTTCATGATCTGGTAACATTGGTTTTTCATCCATATTCAAGCTCTAAATTTAACTCAATTAATAATAGACAAGGCAAGTAAGAGCCAAACACAGATGTTGCTGTGAATATTTTTTTTTTAATTATGGAAGGATAATATTTAATTTATTTGAAGAATTTAAATGAAGAAAAAATAAGGTAAGTAAATAACTAGACGCATTGGTGTGAATATCTTTAAATTATAAGAAGATAAAATATTTGGTCACACACGCCGAATATCTTTCCACACGGAGAAAAATAATTTGCTGGCCCAGCAAATTTTTTGCTGATCAAAATCTTCGTTATTATATGGACAGCAAAAAGATTTGCTAAGAATACTAATTACTATTTGCTGGATATAATTTGCTGAATCTACAAATTATTTTGCTGTAAGAACCATAATAGATTTATATAAGCAGTTGCAGTTTTGCTTCGATAGTAAATAAATTTGCTAAGAATACATTATTTTGCATCAATAGCAAATTAACGTGATTCTTAGGACAAATATACTCAACAAATTTTTTTCTATCCTGGCAACGAAACTACTGCTCTGATAACGAATAATTTGTTATGTCAAATTTTTTTTATGTTTGGACAAAGGGAAAGAGTTTGAAGTATTTTGGAGATATTCTTAATCGATCGTGTCAGTTTTTGGATGTGTCTTTCTATTTTAACATAATTTGCAGGAATTTTGAGCATGCATTTCCTCACTTCTGACGTCATCAATTAAAATTTTTGCAGTGAAGCACAAAGTGCTTCGCATATTATTATGTTATTTTAAAGAAATGATTTGTTCTCCCTCTCACTAATACACACAGTACAATGTCTAATCTTCACACTAACTCGAGCACCGTGCTTATTAGTAGCCGCTGTGCTACGAACCTACGCAACACAACGTCTAAAATCAGAACATAAAATATCTTATAGGCCTTCTATAATAAGACATTAGTCACAAGTAAGCAAGTTAACCAACCACAGTAGATTATTTTTTTAATTAATTATTTTCTAAAATTAAAGAAACAAATGTATATTTCAAATTTCTTTACTTAATTTTAGAAAATAATTACTTAATTTAAATAAATATCTTCATAGTACTATTCAAAAATTTTTTAAAATTAAGTAAATTTTTTTCTCAGTTCTTAGGAAAGAACTCTTCCCACACAACCAACGTCTAAAATCGGGAAGTAAGACGTCTCTCAGACAACTTTAAGACGTCGGAATATGAAACGTCTCTAAGACAACTTTAAAACGTTTTTAAAACGTCTAATGGACTTTCTACAATTTTTTTGGTTATAATGGTAATATTTTTAATTAATTTGCTTGTGATTTATGACTAATGGCTCATTGTAGAAAGTCCATTAGACGTTTTAAA